GAAATGTCTTGTTTTTTCTATCATATTTTTGTTAGAGATCGAAAGCCTATTCTACAATGTGCTCTTCGTTTTCTGCTTCTTGCTTTTTACTTTTTCCTTTTTTCTCCTTTACAACCGTTTTCAACAATTGTATTTGTTGTTACGTATTTCTTGTTTCTTTCAAAATTTGTTAACTTTTATCTCGAGCGACGTAAAACAAAAAATCGGATAAGAAGCAAAAATACAAGATGTACAAAATAGCAAAAGCAAAAAATAGGAAACAAGAAGACACATTATAGACTAAAGAAATATAGATAAACGGAATGAAACAACACATAAGATATTGGCGTTGAAAATATGTGGGACGGAAGAGGGATCATTGTTGCAATTGAGGGATGACTTCTTTCATCACACTCGTCGATACTACTGTCACAAACTGTGTTTATTTTTATCATTAATGTATATTATTTATTATAAATAAGTTAGAAACATTGATTTTGGGTTTGATAGGTGTTTACAATTTTATACACAGAGAAAGAATACCCAACATATTTTACGCTCCCAGAAGGGTGGTTTACGCCTCCTGACGAGAGATGATTTACAAATGAACCTAACAGCCCCTTAGAGACTCTTGCACGTCGTTTTCTCGCCTGTTTCTCGGTTAGGGTTGTACAAAGCCTAGTAGTTGCAACGAATCTCCTTTTATGTTTATTTCTTGATAAAGTGTCTCTCACGCACGCACAATGAAAATCACTCCCTCGCCTTCTTTCCGTCTTCTTGCCTCTTCTCTCTCTCTCTCTCTCTCTCTCTCTCTGTCTCTCTCTCTCTTTCTTTCACCAACCCCTCTATCCTTTTTTCTTACATGAGCATACGCTCACGCAATTGCACAAATACGCATACATATGCACAGACGCACCACAATAATGCACATACGCATATACACACATTCTTTTTCTCCTCATTCACTCATTCATATTTCTCACTAGCATCATTTTTGCACTTCGTGTCCTGCACACGCGTTATCTCTCCCTCCCTCTCTGCCATCATCCGTTTAGTCACGCGCTCTCAATGAAAATCAAGCAGTATTACTATTATTAATTATTATTACTATTATTATTATTTTATCATTATAATTATTATAATTATTATTATAATTATTAATGTTATTATTCAATATTATTTGTTGTATTCGCTTAATATATAATATATTATCCAATGTATTTATATATATACTTTTTTTTTTTCATATAAACTCAGTGTTCCAACCAAGGTGGGTGTGACACAACTAAGGTATATGACACATACTGCCCGGTGTATGTGCGTCCGCGAGTGACACCGGCGGAGTCTGGTGACGTTCGGGCCGCTGCACGCATTGTGTCCGAACGGGAAACCGTCCAGACCCGGCCTATGTCACGTCAGAGAGAATCATCTCTATCAGCGCGACGTACTCTCCTGGTTCGCGCGCGGCTCTTGCTATTCATCGCGATTACGCCTAGTGCTTTCGACTCGGGGAAATCGTCTCGTTACCATCTCGCGTTACCATGAGCAGAGTCCATTCACCTCTCGCGTTTCCACCCTCGAAAAAAACTGGCAAGGTCCGGCTTGTCATTTCTCCTGGTGGTTTCTGCGCGTCATCGTATTTCTCTTTTCTCGTGATAATGCTAGAAAGATCTTGATTTTTAAAATCGAGCGAAGCGAAAAGAGGAGAATCTTTCGTTCACTTCCACCAACGTGCGTATTCGTGAAATTTTATTTCTTTCCTGTCTTATTAACTCTATTCCGTTCTTTTCATATCTTCTAATAGAAATAAAAAAAATGAAAGCTTATCTCGACCTCACTCCTCGCTTCTTCCTTTTGAATTTTTCTCTATCAAATTTCTTACTACTTTATTACATTAATATGCGAAGCTTTTTCGTAAATTTCTCAAATTCAACGTTAATTTGTTTTATCAACCACCTCCTCTCTTGTTCCTCGTTCATTTACTTTTCCCCGCGTCATTGGGGAAGGAAGAAAAATGGCGAAAATCGCGGCTTCGAGAAGATATCGAACCATCGGAGAGTACGAGCAACGGGCAGCGCGCTAGCCAATATATGACCGAGCGCAGGCAGTGAGTTCATACGTACGTACACAGTATAATGTGGATACGGGGCGAGCGAGAGGCATGAAGCCCCTCTCTTCCAAAGGAGAGGGGACCCATGATCTTGGCTGCGCGCGGTGGCTGTGCCGTTGCATCGGAAGGGCGAGGATCCGACGAAGGGAGAACCGCGACAAACTCCTCCTTTCTTTCATCATGCTTAAGAAATTCATTTCCTCGAAAAAAAAAAAACAATGTGATTCGATTTATAAGCAATTCCTCGCTTTTAAAGAAATTGTCTTCACAAATCGAGACTGATTCCTCGTTTCTGTAAATATATTATCGGGACCACGTATTTTTTTTTTTTTAGAAATTTATCTATGCAAGATAGAATTTCTCGTTCTCGAGGAATTTGTTCTTGCAAATTAGAACTTTTTACTCTGGAGGTATTTGCTCGCAGCCCAAGAAACGTTTTTCCTCGCACAACCCGCACGCACAGCCGGCAGAGAGAGGAGACGGCAGAGAGAGATATCTGCGGGCTCCTCCCGCGCGCCTTAATTACCTAAGTCACATCGAACAGACGCAATTCCCCACACAGTATCTTTCGCTTCTGCAAAATTTCCCTCAAATCTCACACACTCTCTCCCTCTCTCTCTCTCTCTCTCTCTCTCTCGCATTCATTTTTACTTTCTTCCTCCTCTCTACCTCCTCGCCGTGGTTGCTGGTATCTTTCACTCTTTCTCTTTCTCGCTTTCTCTCTCTTTCTCTCTCTCTCTCCCTCTCTCACGCTCTCTAATCTATATCATTCTTTTTATATATTATATATAACAATATTTATACGATGAATTTTTTATGGATTCGAATCACATGCAGAAAGAGCTTTGAGTCATTTCTGGCATGGATAAAAAGGAAGAAACAAAAAGACTTTGGCTTTCGCGTAACTCTAAATGAAGGATGTTCTCGTAATTTAGCGTTTAGTACATTTGAGAAAAAAGAAAAAGAATAAGAACAAGAAGAAAACAGAAAGGAAAGAAAAAAAAAGAAAAACAACAACACCACACTAGTAAATGGCACTAGAATTGCTTCTCTCACTTGTGTCATCGAATCTAATTCGCGATTAAAAAGCCGGTTTTTTT